AACAAACAAAACTAACAAAAAAACACGACCACCCCCCCCCCCCCCACCATAAATATCGCAAAATGCAAAATTGAAAATTTGTATGTACCCCCGCATGGACTTAATGAACCTCCATACCAATTTTGGTGAAGATCCATCTACGCCCTACGAAGTAGTTACATGGACATACAACAGACAGTACTATTATACTTATATAAATTCTTTGTCTTTTATATTGTTGTGTATACAACAATGAAACTGGCGAAACAATGAAGGTTATTAAACTTAATGAATTGTAGTTACAAATCACGTTTGATTATAGATGTTACTGCCACATTTCACCAAGTTAATCCAAAGTCGATTTTTGGTGTACATTTAGCATTTGAGATATATCTTTCGTCTCACTGCCCATAAGAATTTCGTCAATATCAGAACTCGTTAGTTTGAATTCACATACGGCAGCTAAAAGTCTATCAGAAATGTTCTTCGCTTTCAGTACAGTAAACTCTACTAAATTTTTTGCACTGGAACAAATTAAACCAGATACAAGCATCCTATCTAATAACTATAGGAATAAAAATAAAACTCGGAATTTGAAGTCTCATTGATTTAAGAATGTTGAAGTGTAAATTTAGAGTAATCAATCTTCTAACATAACCGATAAGAAAATATATAGTTATTGATATGGGGTGGTTTAACAAGAACCAACTATCACGTCTACCAAAGTCCTGAAATTCACCACGTGTGTCAGAAACTGAATTAATCCAAAGAATCCTTGGATTTTGTGAGTACTCCCAATGGTTAGGCAGTAAGAATGAAGACCTGCAACCGTATATGGTTCAGGCTACGATCCCTGTGGTAGGCATAACGCACGTAATTCGTTGTGAAGCTTTGCACTTAAATAAATAAACGTGTTTCGCAAATTTCTTGATGTAATTCTATTTTTATTTTTTCATGTATTCACAGGTACAAAATCACGAAGATCATGATTCATAGATGTGAAATGTCTTACATCGATGGACGGATTTCATTTATAATTTAATAATATAACTAAGTGGATAGTATTTTTCATAAATTTACTAAATAGTTGTAGCACGACGGTGAAGTTTGTAAAAGATCAAAGCTCTAACATGACGCAAAGATAATTCTCATAAAATTTAAAGAACAGACATAAAGATGAGTATATTTTAGAATTTTCGCGTAAAGCTACGCAAGAGGTATCTTACAGCCGTCCCTAATTTTGAACGGATAAGCTAAAGGAAAGGCAGCTAGTTAAAAACACCCACCGCTCACCCCTGAGCTACTTTTGTCGACCTAATAGGGGACCACGGCCCTACAATGCAAAGCACATTTTTTG